GGTAGCACTTACGGCTCTCTCACCCCACTATTGGAAGTTCTGACGTCCTGACACTTTATTAGATTGTTTTCTTTGCACAAGAACTCCAACATGAAGTGGCAATAAAAATATTCACGGCCTCTGTGATCATTAGCCAAACCTCTATAAAGATAAATGTAGTCAGTTAGTGAACTAGTTAGTAAATTATGCAAAAACATACAACTCGTGCCTTCGACTTGTACCACTAAAAACACATTTTTCAAACGAAATTACAAAACTAAAAGTAAAAACTAAACTAGATACTAAAATACTGTTGGTTTAAAAAAAAAGAAAAAAAGAAAAAGAAAAAAAGAAAATAAACGTAACCACTGATTAATAATTTTATTCTCTTTCTTTCTTTGAGCATGAAGTGCAGCTTCCATATTAAATTAAAATATATTATCCTGGGGCCACAAACACGCGTTTTGTGGGTCCACAAGAGGTCGTTGTGGTAATTGTGATAAACTGGGAGCCACAGCCTCCTCTCAGTCATCAATCACATATTTCCATTTCAACAAATAAGTAAGTAAAATACAACAGAAAACGGGTATATTCAATATTATTTAGTATTACCAATTTAGGCCAAATCAGTGACAGTAATAAATCGTTTTTATTTAGCAAACACACAAATAAATTAGCAAATGCAAAACCGTATATTTTATATTTGTTGGTGTAGCATAAAGCAAACGAATTACAATTTCAAATACATCCATGTGTCCGTGTTGTATAGACAACAGTATAATACATGTAAACGAACTTTGCGTATTTTTTCCCTTTTCTGCAATCTTATCTGTCATTTCCAAAACCTTTGTAAATGTAATAACACATAAACATCACCAGTAATACGTTAATAGCACCTTTTCAATCTTTTTTATTTTATTTTATTTTTTTTTTATTTAGGCTGAGATAAATTTGCTTATCCCCCCTCCTGTCTTTAAAGCATCACTCATTTCACAAGGACGCAATTCAACAACACACTTAACGTGATGTGATCGATCACTATTGAGCCATGATTTCGTTTTATTTTCGTGAGGTCGCCTTCTTTTTTTCTTTCTTTTTTGCATAAACTGCTTTGCATGCTTTTGTTAAATCCGAGTTGTTGTTCTCTCTCTCTCCCGTTTTCTTCTTCACGCCTTCACCTTGCTTGTTTGACTCCTTTGAGCTCTTCCTCCTCTGCTGCATGTGGAAAAAAACCGTCCCCCACTCACAATTTCATCTGGATTACCATTAAACCCTCCTAGGAGAGCAGTTACAGGAATCTCTGATTATAAGGAAACCAACACACGTGAGAAGTAATATGACATAGATATATAATGTAGATATTCAAATCCATTATCATTATTATTATTTTTTAAAAGAACATCTCAAACTAATTGCTTCAAGTAGAGTGTTATACACCATTTACTTCTGGCCTTTTCATCTATTACATGCAGCTTCACCTCACTATTTATATTTAAATGAAATGCTTAAAAGCTTCAAGTCTTACACGAAAATGTTTGTTCTAGTATCCGGTTTTATTTAAATAAAAGTTGCATTTTAGGCAGATAAATGCCTCACCCTGCCTATAAAATACATTACAGATAAATTTACAGTAAGTGTAAACTCACTACTAGAACAGATGCTTAGGTTGCAATATAAGGATGTTACACTGGTTACAGAAGTAGTGGTCAATCACAACAACAAAGGTGGTATAAGAATATTATGCGTATTATAGTGATTGGCCACTTCCCATGTTTGGGCTCGTCCATCACGCAATATGCGGTGTATCCCTGGGGACTGTAATTGTGAATCACGTGGACGTGACCGAGTGTTTGGGGGTTTTGTTGGGTGGGAAATGGTCATTTGTATTGACCAACAGAGCTGGCCACTGCAGGAGCGCTAAAAGGCGTCCAAAGAAAGGGGAGAGACGGCAGCAGTGGACACTGAGATTAAACCATTGCTCCCGAACATGGCAGAAGGTATGCTGGCAGGTTTTAGGGAGTTATCTCTGGGAACGGTTAGAACGCTTTCTGGTGGGGCAGGAATTCAATGTATTGTCTAAGATGTTTTTTGTTTTTTTTTTGTTTAGCGAACGGGGGGGTCGGGGTCTTCACAGAAAAAGAAATTTCTCCCGGTGACCCCCCACCCCTCATTGTTTAAGGGGGATAGGTTGCCAGCCCCCTTTTGTTTACCTCCCTCTCACGCTTTCCCTCTCGCCGCGAAGCTTCTGCGTTTCACAGCATTTTGCATGAAAGTGGCAATCTGCGAGGATTACCCAGTTTGAGGGCTTGTACACTGGATACTGTAGCTTGGGTGCTGATTTTGACTCAAGGCAGAACTGAAGACATGGGTTCCGTTTCTAAGAAGCAGCTCCGAGGTTGGGTAACTTGAGCTACATTTTGAGAAGTTTTTGCAAGTTAATTGAGTCGTTGTACCTGTGGACTGTGCGCTCGATTGCAGCGGAACGTTTTAACGCATTGTTCACACACTTGAACGTTAAAATGTGCAGTCCGTGTGTCTATCAATGCTTTGCATTGTCTTTCAAATTTTGTGCATCTTACGGGAAGGGAGAATATTTTTGTTTCCTTTTTGCGCTAATGCACCAGTTCGTTGTGCATTCGCTGAAAAAAGTCGCATGTTTATTCCCCTTAAAAAGTTGGCTATAATTTATTCCAAATTTTGCGAGAAATACAGCCTAATCTTGTTCATTGTATTGATTCGTATTGATTATTGATTGGGTAGCCTAGCCTAAAGGAAATTTTGTATTTCCGTTTTTTAAAACCTTTCAATTTAAAAAAAAAAATCTTTTGCGTTTTTAAGCATCGTCACCTTCGCAGGTTTAAAGCTTTTCTGTAGTAATTGCTAAATTGTTTCATCGTAGGAGTGTGTAAAACCGAGGAGGATGAAGGACCGAGTCCCGAGGAGAATTCAGAGTCTTTCCACGGGGTCGGTGTGTGTAAATGGTTCAACGTCCGCATGGGTTTCGGGTTCCTGTCCATGACCAGCCGGGAGGGAGAGCCGCTGGACGAGCCGGTGGATGTGTTCGTCCATCAGGTATGATCTGCTTTTGCTCCGACGTGGTGTTTGTTTATTATGTGAAACGCAGCACTGGTGGTGGCGGTGTGTGGACCAGCTCCTTTGCATCCCAATAAAGATATCTAAAATGTAAAGGTAAAAATATGTTTTCCATCTAAGCAAGTAAAATCTCTCCACACCAGGAGATCAGAGATCAATCTTATCTTCTTCCAGTCTTCACTTTCTGTGCTTTTAGACCTAGTCCCAGCAGCAAAGGATTGTGGGCAGAAGTTAAAACATTACAACAAACAAAAACTTAAAGAAAGCGAGGTTAATCAGAAATCCAGTCCTTCAACAGGGAGGGCACTGAAAGACATTTAAAGATAAAAATTGCTACAACGCCGGAAACGTCTAACTGTTAAATTGATGCTTTTGCTGCGCGGTGGGTGTTTCTCCTTTAGGGGAACACGTGTTGCAGCCAGAGGGGAGCAGCGGGCCTCCCTCGTGGTTTTCAGGACGCTGACACAATGTGATGGAGAGATGAATGTGCGGTTTTTGTTGTTCATTGAAGCCAGCGCACTTTTAACAGGCTTACATCCATAAGCCTCCTGAGCTGCATGAAAACTGAGCCATTAAGGAGGAGGAAACGTTTAATTGATCTCCATCTGGAGACGTGAACAATCAGTGTGCATTGTTTTTGTGTGTGGGTGTTTGTTTAGATTTTTTTAACCATTTATTTTCCACCTGCGAACAGAATTCTTTAACACATCATTTGAGCAACCTATTGGGGTGGTATCTAAAAAGGGTTACTGATCCTGATCACTGCTTTTCAGATTAAACACATTTTAAACAGTCAAACTTGAGGTGGCTAAATACAACACAGTCACCTCACACACTTTTCCCCCCCACCTGGTGCTGCTGTTCCTACTTTTAGTTTTAAAGTAGAGCTTGAAGGCTCATTCCAAC